ACAAAAGATATTAAAGATATGGAAATCAATGTGTATTGGTTAGTTAGAGATGAGAAGGAAGGGATTAAGAAAGGAGAGGAGAAGGTTTAAGAGACACTCAATTTTTTAATAGTGGAATTATAATCTGGTAATGGGCAATTGTGCTGATTATGATGAACATAACTAATGATGCTGAATCGTACAAGTAAAAAATTGAAAAGCAATGTTATGTTCCATATATTGTGTGTGTGCATATGTACAGAGACACATGAAATGGTTTTATCAAATCTACTTTTAGTGTACTGGCATACCTCAAGTTACAGATGATTCTATCTGCTGTGTAGATTTCATTATGTAAATCTGCCCTCAATTTGTAAGGACTGAATTAAATCCTGCTACTAGGAATCTCAAGTCTCAATCACCTTCACTTGGCTGCAAATGGAGTGCCCAAATTGTTGAAAAGGCTTTGAATCTTTTCTTGCACTAAAACCCATTAATAAGTGAGTCCATTTCAAGTCAAAGCAAACACACAAGACAGAGAAAAACTGTTCTATTGGGCTTTGAAGGCTGTAAATCTTAACAGGAACAGACTGCCTCACACACCACAGCTAGTGAGTTAGAATTATCCCTCTTCCTGTACCTCACTCTATCAACAGAGCTCCTTCTTGCTCTAAGACTCATACACTCATTGCCAGTGAGTCAGAGCTGATTCATAGCTGAACTTCCAGTATATTTATGGAGTAAGTTCCATGAAAGATAATCACCCATCGTTCTCCCAAAGAGCTGCTGATGTTCTAAAACAAGACTAAATAAGAACCATGTGACTTTATTCCAACTTATCAATTCTAAAAGAGATCTTGGTCATAACCAAGTAACTGCCTACATTATTAATGCTATTTAAAAAAATATATTGCTATTTCAATATAATTAAAAGGGTGTCATACTGGATTCATAAAATCAGAGTCAATTTTTCTCCCAGTATCTTTTATTGATCTACGGATGACAACTCATAAATTTTAAAATATAACTTGTCTTTCCTTTTTATTGTTATAATAGTCTGTTTTGAATACCTCTTGATCAACCAATCCTTGAAGAAGAATTGGTAGTCAATTTTCAAAGTGGTTTACTTCTTGGATTGTCTGTTTGCTTCCCTGTTACCTGGAATCACTTCCTAAGAATTGTTATCATCCAAACTCCAAAAATTCAGTCCTCAGATGTCCAACTCCAATGTGTAGGTAAGTTACAACAGGCTCAAAGTCTTTATAGTGATTTAAAAGCTGTACACACAACAAATGATGAATGTGATAATTTGTGGAAGGCATGGATTAGTAAATGGGTCAGTCCAATCTCTTAGTTATTTCAGAGGATAAATTTATTTAACATTAAAGAACCAGTTCAAGTTATCCTGAAATCATGTTAGTACCAAAGGAACCTATAAACATCAATATATTTTATTAAATACTATTCAACTCTCAGTTGCCTAAAGCCTCTTTTACCAAATAATCTGAATCATTAAATCCTTACTGTAATTTAGGAATATACTGTGCTCTCAAACTCACTTCTGTGGAGTCTAACTTGACTCGGCTGCTCCTCCAGTAGGTTTTGGGAGGTTGTGGACTTCACAGAAGGAGCCTGTTAATTTTTCCAATGTAGCTGAACGTCTTTGGTTAGCAGCACAACTCCTTTCTTACCATCATATAATGAAAATTGTGCCCTAGGGCCAGGGCCATCAAGGAAAGTTACAAAACCTAAATAGTCTATGGGTTATTCTCTTTTTATTTTTTCCACTCTTTAAATATCTCTCATTAAAGGATTCTAAAGAATTCAATATATGATCCTTCTGCTTTTGTTACTTCCAAGCAATATAGTGTAGGTGAGTTCACTGCATTGACTTCTTTAATGTTGCTTTTCTAGCCATTGTCTTTGTTACTCTTACAACAAGGTTGTATGAATGATTGAATGGAAAATGAATTTGCTCCGTAAACTTTCACTCAAAGGACAATATACTGTTGTTGTTATATACCACTGAGCTGGAACCAACAGAGCAGTAAACCACACAGAATCCCATCTTTCTCTTGAAGAGGAACTGGGGGATTCAAATTGCATGCTTCTGGGTTGGCAGTGCAACTTTTTACCACTAAGCCATAGAGCTCCCTCATGGTTGGGTAGAACTGTTCAAACATAAGGTGTTTGTGGCCCAAGAACTAAAGAGCTTGCTAATCAGGTAAATGGTATTTTAAGGTGTGATTATACAAAAAAAAGAAAAGAAAAAGATGTGCAGAATACTAATATTGTAGAAACTCGTCAGTCCTGCCATACTGTCAACCTTACATCTGGCCCAGAGGAGGGCTCAGAAATATCATTACCATCAAGCACAAAGAAGCAGAAAAGATGAAGTGTGACACTACAGAGATGAAATGAGCTTAAGACAGGTGCAAAAGTGGTGGCAGTAGATGTGACAGAGAGCCAAAAACTGGTGTGAGACAAAACCAGAGGCTTTCACTCAGAGTGAGAACGTTGTAGATATCCTAGTGAAGTGGTTAACTTTGGGCACTTGCCAGAGCAGCTAGGCTGGCGAACCAAGAGAGTTAGAGCCAAGGCCTACCTTCAGGCGTAGGCTAACTGGTAGCAGTTAGAGTGGTACATAACTGGTAGAGCTAAGAGAGCTTTAATACACATGCCCAAGCTGTGCGGAGGCCAAGGCCATGAGGTCATTCATTAGAGAGGTTCACCTTAAAAACACCATCGAATGCGGAGCTCTGGTGGCCTAGAGGCAAGCAGCTGCAACTACAATCCCAGAGGCGCACGGTTCGAATCGACCAGATGCTCTGCCGGGAAAGGAGTGACAATCTCCTCCTGTAACAGTCAGATCTGATTTGACGGTACATGCTCACAAAAATAATAAAATGAAAAAACAAACAAACAACAACAAAAAAAAAACACCATTGTAAGTATTCTCTAATCTGAACTTTAATTGTAAGTGATGGAAGAGGACAGGGCAAGGTTCGAGTAATTGTTTATAGGGTTGCTATGAGTTATCAATTCGACGGCACCTCACAATAACAAAAAAATAGAATCTGAATTAAAATCTCATAATATTGAGTGCTGTCTATGAATTCTACGTGGCAATCAAACCTAAAGAAAACTGAGACAGATGGACAGTGCGAGAATTCTGTGAACGTGTCAAGCCTTCACAGAATGGTGGGTGTCTGAATTCACAGGAATTGTCTCTGTGCTCTTTTTACTGCTGATGTGGATTCTGCTCCCTTGCAAACTTAGTGGAGATCAGACTCTGTTGCCCCCACACCTGCCATAGTCTGTAGAGTAAGCATTGTGTGTAGAGTAAGCAGACTGCACATACTTCAATGCTGGCTCTGCCATCTATTAGCTGTTACCATTTATTAGCTCTGTTATTTAGTCATCTTACTTAATCTCTATTAGCCTCAGTTTCCTTAAATGTAAAATACATTTATAAAACAGTATACATCTTACAGAGTTGGTGTGATGACAAAAAAAGTGAAAAGAGGTAAAACTCTTACAACGAACTTGCACAGATGTGAGCATATACTATTTTAATGGTTGTTCTGAACTTTTTCAGCTTTAATTGCATTTTGCTAGTCTAAACTTATTGCACATTACTCACTTTTTAAAGTAATCTAGTAGGATTACAATGTTATTTGGAGATTTTTTTTTTCACCCCTTATGAATTCATTAGGCACATTTTAAAGAATGTGATCTGAATCACCACATGTGCCATTGTTCTACCTGACTAAATTCTTGTAGTCACTTTAAAGAGAGTAAAGTACAGGTGATTTCCAGAGAATGAATTAGGGATGGGTAGCATGTATAAACATTCAAACTGCTGTCAAATTCCTCTGTCAAACCTTGGATAATCACCTAGGCTTCAAAGATCTTATAACTCTACATTCCCACTGAACTATTATCAAGACAACTCATTTTGTCTAATATAAATAATCCTTTTGAAAAACCAAACACCAAGACTAAAAAAAAAAAAAATTGAGAGAAAATGTATGCTATGTTTTACTCTATATTGTTCTGTAGATGTTGTAAAACTGATTTACTACCAGCCAAATGTTTATTTGGAAAAACTAGTAACTACTTGCTAAGTTTTTAGATTTCAAAAGTAAATCAGAAAAGTACCAGAAACTTTATTACTTCAGTTAATAATTTATTACTTCATTTAATTCTAACAAGTCTAAGAAATAGATTTTTTTCCTATTTTATAAACAAAGATTTGCTGAGTTCAAAGTAACTTGCCCAAATTTACAAACTTGAGCAGAGGCCAAGTTACGGTTCACATAAACAACAGGTTACAAATATTGCTTGCTTTCTGAAAGTTCACTTTATACCATTTTACATAAGGCCTATATTCATAATCTGATTTCACTATGGAAAAGAAACCCATGGGAGATTTTCACTCTGATAAAAAGTAACATGAAAAGCAAAACCAGTGTTCAGTGTTTGTTTTACAGCAAGCTGTCACAAAGCAGTGCTCTGCACCCAGCACCATGATTGCTATCACCAAACTCTACCCAGCATCAAACACACCTTAAATTGTATCTGTGGGTATTATATGTTATTGTTAATTTAGGCATTAAATGTTATTTGGCAAGTCACATTTTGGGTCCAGGAATGTTCCACACTTTTTTCACACAAATTAATGGCAAAAGCTTTGTCACTTTCATTTCGGTTTATAAAAAGTTTCATAAGAATACTCTATTTGAAATTGTGAATGGAAGAAATCTACATTTTCTTTAAATGAAAGCAAAGCAGAGAGGGTAATTTGAGAGTTTTAAAACAATGAGAATACTTAGGAAGTAAAGTGGAAAAATGTTGCTTAAAAAACAGTACAAAGATTCACCATTTCACTATAGAATAAATCATTTTCTCCACAAATGTGAAATCTAAAATTCTTAGCAGCTATGCATATGAGAAAGTGTCATATATAGTGGTATAGTCATTTGTCATTTTTAAGATTTGTTAAGAAACAAACAGCTTACCTTTGGTGCATGCACACAGCCTGTCTGTGCCGGAGCAATAAATGACAGAAACAAAAGTGTCCTGTTCTTCAGTGCCCTCCTTTTTGGGAGGTTCCACTTTGGCCAAAACGTCAAAGTTTGAAAGATCTAATATTTTTACATATCCTCCCTGAGTGGTTATTACCAAGTGTCCAAGAGTAGAAATATCAGATTTTTTTTCTCTCTCAATGCCATTCTTTGAGGTTAACTGCATTTCATCAACAGGTTCCTCACAGTCTTCCTCTCGATTATCCAATATATCTGGTGGAAGCAATATGAGCGAGGTAATTGTGTCCTGGGGATCTTTGATATGTTGGATTTTTATTGGCTCTTCTTCTAAAGTAACTATCCGAGTGGCATAATTCATTTTATAAAGTACTAAATATCCACCACTAATATTCCTTTGCTCAGGCTGAATTATTAAAGGAGTTTGTACATCTGCTGGTGATTCATGTTGGATTACACTAATATTTGCACCATTCACTACGGCAAGATTTGATTCTAGCTCACCTTTCCGTCTGTTACACAGAGCAGAGTTTAATTTATTTAAATTATTCAAGGCCTCTACTTGATTTATTGCACTCATGGATTCAACAGGGCATGTCCGCAGTCCTACCAACAAATGAATTCCATCAGCACAAGGAGTTATTGAGTCTACACAAAGATTCTCCTCCTCTGCAAACTTTGGCAGCCTCAAGCACTGAACCAGAGTCCCAGGCTTGGGAAACACAGAGTTCCACTTGTCAGAATCTGGAGAGGTAAGATTGGCTGCTGCATCTGCAAACTGCTGAATATAAGTCACAGGAGGATCCTGCAACAACAATTGCTCCTGATTATCCAGCTCCATTTCAATAATCTGTGGCACTGTAAAGCCATCATCGTGCAAACTTTTACTCATAATATTGTTCATCTGTGAAAAGATTTTTCCGGCTTTCTCATCAGATTCCTTAATGCTGTAAAGCAGCAAAATGGGTAAAGTCCTCCTTACCAAGGGAGAATTTAGTTCTGAATTTGTACAAGATTCATTGTCAGTTGACCCCTGTTCAGATATATTTTCCCCCTGAGTTCTGCTTAAACCATCCAGTGACCTATGAGAATTACTACTAATGGGAGAGGTAGCAGGAGACTTATATGTTAATAAACCTCCAGCTAATAAACATGGAAAGGGAATGTTGTGTTGTTCCTGGTGTTTTTCCTTAGTCTTTTCACTCTTACAGTTTGTTAAGCAAGGATTTGCCCCAAGTTCTTCAAGATCCTTAACAGTATCTTCAAGGACATTTGCAACAATTTCCCACTGAAGTTTTTCTGGCTGCTGGAGAATGCTGAGCGCTGTTATATCAAGGTTCACTTCCATGGCTTCCTTTTGTGATGTATGCCCTTTGAACAGAAATAACACTCATTAGTAAATACAAATCAAAACCTTTGGTTTCATATTTTCACTTTTACACATACAATGAGTAAATTTTGACAATAAAAATAAAACACTCTATCAAAAAATCATTCATCATGATCAAGAAGGATTAATACCAGGTTTGCAGAGAAGGTGCAACATTAAGAAAGAAAAAGAAGTATCAGTGTAGTAAAACAAAGTAAAAGGCCTATTCAACATGCTTTCCAGATAAAAATACTCAGCAAAATAGGAAATGAGAAACTTCCCAGAATAATTAAAAGCATACATAGAAAACCAATGTTCATTAAGAAACAATGGCTAAGGAAACTATGGTACATTTACAAAATAACAGTACTATCACCACCAAAAAGTGATCAAAAATTTGTGAAACAAGTGTACAACATGGATAAAGTCAGTCACAAAAGATCAACTGTTGTATAAGACCACTATTACCAAAGCTAAGGAAATTGTATAAACAATCATTCTTGCATGACTAGCAGGGACGGGAAAGGAAGGAAAGGGGAGTAAAATTTAATAGAAAATTCAGTGACCGGAAAGGTATTGTATGAGGTTGTTATTGTTGTTGTTAAGTGCTGTGGAGTCATAGGCGACTCATAGCCACCCGATGATCGAAAGACCTGGACACTTTTATCACCTTCATCCTTGCTCCAGGTTCATAGGGTTTCTGGAAGCAAGCTATTTCAGAAGTGAATCCAACTCCTGATTCCAAGCTTGTTGGTGTTTTTTTGGGGTTTTTTTTTTTTTCAAGCTTGTTTTATAATTAATCACATTAATCAATGGAAATTAACATTACAAAACAAAATTAATAACTGAATGAAAAATCAGTATGATTTTGAAACTTTTAAATGTTCAAATATCTGAAAATAGAAGTTTAAATAATTTTAAGATAATTAAGTCAAATCTGAAATAAACACACCTAAAAATATTTCAATTCAGAATAGACTTTCCTGAAAATTTGTAAGTAAAATTTTTATTTAAAAGAGACTGAGGAAGAGTTTGTAAAAAGGACAACATTAAGTGATCATTTTAGTATTTAAAGAAATGGAATTTCTGGTCTTCAATTCATGGCCAAATATGACAATAATGAATATGCACGTATCAGTTAGGTACTTTTCAGATAAACGATTAAAATATTCATCTAATCTTCACTCTTCAATCATTTAACAGTATAAACACTTCTTCTTCCTTATCCCACTATGACTACAAATGACTGTGTGCAAATTAATTCTGAACTTAGGAAAAAATAACAAGAAAAATGTTCCAGAACTTTGAATCCCTAAAAGGAAATATATATATTTATCCTATATCATCTTCTAATTTTTAACTCAATTTTACCAGTCAAAAAATTACATTATTCTTTTTTTACTTTTCTTCTTCTTGTTTCATTACAACCTCAAACTTCTAACACTGACCTATATTCTTTTCAGATTGCAACTGAGGTCAAGAAACCCTCAAGTCAAGAATGATGTCTTAACTTTAGACTCTCAACCAATCTGTCTCAGGAGCACAAACTACTATTAATAGGCAACATTATTACCAATAATTATGTGAAGATCACCGTCAGCTGTTCATGGAAATAAAAAGTAATTCTGTGTCATTAAGTCTAAAATTCCAAATTACAGATGACAATGAAATAATTTCAAACATCAGGAAATAAAACCAGAATATAAAAACAAAAAGTAACATGTAGGATTTGAATTCTAACATAATAAACTATTTTGAGATAAACTATTTGCTTTTCCTATAATGTAAATATCGCAACCTCTTTTGCCGTAACATTTCATAAACGAATGATCAAGAAAATATTTACTGATGACTGAACGTCTATGATTTATACTTTAAAATTCATTCCCTATTTCTTTATTTGCTTTTGAAAACCAAGAGCCTTAATACAAATTACTCTGGAAAAAAGAATACACTATACAAATAAACAAATTTTAAAGCACAATGTCAAAATTCTGACATCTTTAGTAATATTACTGTCATTCAGATTCTCTTGATTCAAATTTAAGTTTTGTACATATAACTAATAGAAGAACTCTGAATTCACATAACACATTAATTTTCCATGTCCACTGATAAAATTTTAAAGTTTATATTATCTAAGAAATTTAGAATTGAGTAGTATCTTAGAATTAAGTTGTTACCTTGTATTAACCAAGGCACTCTATCTGGGTGCAATAGTGTGTGAGGTGTTGCACTGCTAATCTAAAAGTTAACAGTTCAAAATCTACCAGTCTAGCTCCTCAACGGGAATTGTTTTCCTCCTTTAAGGCTTACAACTGGAAACCCAATGGTAATAAAGAGTGTCTATGACTTGGAATAAATTTGGTGGTAATAGATTGGGTTTGGGTTTGCATTAACTAAGAAATTTCAAATGAAGTAATGTTTTGGAATTGGTTAAAGTTGTTTCAAGTCCACTACAATTCATGAAGAATTTTCATCTGTCTAAGAACAGAACTGTGTTCCACAGGTTTTCCAATGGCTGGTTATTCAGAAGTAGATAATCAGGCATTTCTTCTAAGATACCTCAAAGAACACTCAAATCGTCAACCTTTTACTGAACACCAAGTGGGTTAACTTGGCACCAATCAGAAACTCGAGTGATTAGAAAGGCAGTTGAAAAATTATCACTTAACTAAGATTTTACAAATGCAAGGACTTAACATATGTTAATATTTCTTTCACATACCTGTCACAGAATCTGATCTGGAATGCTCTTCACTGTCTGAATCTTCCAGTAAGTCATCACTTAAATAAAAAGACAAAATAAGTTAATTTTTAAAAATTTGTGTCTAATAGAAGCATTGTTGTTGTTCTGTGCCATCAAGTCCACATCTCATAAATGATCCTATGAATATTTCTGAACCCTGCCCTATCCTGAGCCAACCACACCATTTCTAACACACCTGACCCCGTTACCAGAGTTTAACAATCCATCACACCAAGAGTCTTCCTCCCTCGCGCTACCTACCCTTCCAACCATGATCTCTTTCTTCCAAGACTGACCCTCATATATGGCCCAAAATAAACAAGAGGAGTTTCACCAGCCTTGCCTCCAAGAGAGAAGTGAGCAAATAAAACAGGGACAATGTTCACAACAAACACTGCTAAGTATGTCAAAGATTGACACCCAACAACTAAAACCAGTTTAAAAGAGATATAATTATTACTTCATAATTGTAGGATTAGTACTGCAGGCAATAAATCAACTTAAATTATTATATAAATGTCTGTCTCAGAATACAGAAATCAATAAGATCTCTCATCACATATGATAGATGTGACTAAGGTTAGTCTGCTAACCAAAAAAAAACCTAAAGAAGGCATTGAAAACAAACTCAAGCATAAGCTTAAAGTTCTATAATTTATGAACACCTGGAGATAGCTAGCTAATTAAGTATATATAGCACATATGTTCATCTACATAAGATCGTCAGCTTTACTTTTTTGTCTGTTTTTAAGAGCTAACCTTAACCCTAACCCAGAACGTCTGCAACCCAGACATTATGAAACAAAATAGCAATAGCTCCTTCTTATGTTCTTCACACAGCTGGCCAAGAAATCTCCATCCTTCCTCTTTGCATTGACCTATATCCTCACTTTCTCCACTACTAGCAGACTAGAAAAATCGTATCATTGCAAAGAACTAACACCACAGTATTTTTCTGTTTGTACTCCATTAATTAACCAGTAAGACATTTCTTAAATTATAGTAACAATTACAAAAATAAAAACAAAAGTTATTTTGCAGAAAGTAATTTCTACATCCTTTTAAGACAACATACTGTACCTTCATCTGATCTACACATTTACTGTTTTTTTACTGTTATTTTTTAATACAATGTAATTTCTAAGAAACTATATATCAAAGCAACACTTAAAATGTTTCAGAGGGTATCATTTCTATAAAGCAATTTAATAGCCTAATTTAAAACAGCAAAAAGAATGTAAAAAACTTAGTATCATCGGCTAAATTCCCTCAAAATATTAAAATACTTAATAAACTAAGATCTAAAAATATAAATATCAAAAGCAACTATTAATTGATTGTATTAATACAGAATGAAAATATCTAAATTAAAAAACCCTCATATACAGAAGGTCTATTTTAATTTTAAAAAAAAAACCAAAACCACCAAACCTAACAGTGATCAAATAATAATACAGAAGATAAAACAAATTAGTACGCAGATTGTTGAAAGATCCTCCACCAA